TAAGTCCGGTGAGAAAACATTTCATTGTCTTACACATCTTTCTATTTTTGTATATTTACTGAAGTCATTTTCTATCCGTATGCAGGTGGTTTTCTGCTAGCATAGGTCCTGGATTATTTTAATATTCTTCCCAAATATGTCGAGGTTACCTAACAGTTCCAATTGGTCTTTGTGACGTACTTTACATAATCTATAAAACACAGGTACACATCTTCCTGCATTTGTATTGGACTTCCTGGTATTATTCCGAGCATAAATATCACACTTTGTTCCATTGACTTTACCGAACCGGCACTGTTTTTATCCTATTTTCGCTCTTATTTACTGCGTGCTCTATTCATCAGAATTCGGATGATGAGTTTTGTTATATGGCTCATTTGGCTGGACGATGGGGTTCACAGTGAGGTAATATATATTTGTGATATTAATTTTATATCAATGTATAGAATTACTGCAATTTCTATACAGTTAAAAGTACTTTTATAGTTTGATATACTCGAAATTAATATGGTATTTGTAATATAAGAAAACATTCGGTATTCATTAACCAAGTAGCCCCTGCTACTTTTTGTTGAAATTTATAAAATCTTGCTGTTAAAACAATTTTTGAGGAAAATAGGTTTCTCAAATTCAGTAACTGTTATTGCCTTTTCTGGGGGCTTCTTTCTTCACATTTTTTTGTGACGTACGGTGGCCGTTAATAATTAAGTATAACTCAAGACTTCAATGTTAAAATAAAACAGTATTTAATTACAACTGCAAATAAATACTTAACAATAACAAAGAAGTAAAAGTCAACCAAAGATAATTAATCATTTCAGTGAATACCTTGTTAGTAGCGTCCGGTAAATCCTAAATCAAAACCGAAATCATCGACGCACACTAATTCACACTAATTCGACTGGATAGTTCCACTCAATAATCCCTTCAGTCAGTAGCCTGACACCGCTATTTATACACCTGGCGGAAACATATATTCATAACTCCAGAGTGTCACGCTCGAACCTCGGTGTCGGTAGTTACTCATTTTCTTCTTATATGACACTTTTGTTTGAAGTTGTGTGGAACGTCGACATCTTGATTATGTCATTATTTTGTCTTTGAGTTACATGTGCTATCCATTTTAATTGTTGCTATTGTTGGAGGTCCTCAAGTAATGTATCTATTATTTGGTACAGGTCTGTAGTGTCAGCCCATTAGGTTGGAAGAACGATGGTCCTCGCTAATATCTACATGCTTCGTTAACTCGTAGCCATTTTAAATCATTAATCCGGGAAAGCGGTTGTATACAGCTGATAGTTATGATATTTCTGAACTAATCTAGCGCGTGCGTCAGACGCAAAATATCTATAAATTTAAGAAGTTACTTTTAAAGAAATTCTTTGAGAGTTTTAGTTATGAGAATTAGTGTAAATCATTCCTTACTTGGTTTTTATATTGGAATCTGAACGGAATTGGTTTTTCGCAAAAATTCTAATTTGAAGAATGGTTTTTGAAAGGAAAGAGCCGTGAAGTTTCAAGCTCTTTTCTTTGCGAAACGTCTGCTCGAGAGACCTCTGTTGTGGGTGCAGTTGACATGTCAAATTTTTCTTTTGCGCATTTTAAATAGTGAGTGAACGTACGCTGCATATTTAGTGACAAAAATGTTGAGACGTACGAGGAAATGGTTAAGATGGATTGAGGTCATTGCATTGCATACGCGTGAACTGCTGGCATTTTGGTGGAGTTGCTTGTTATGTGATAAAAGATTTAGTTTACAGAATTTAAGAAATCTATCTTGGCGTCATTGTTTTTTTTTTGCTATTTGGCTGGCAACTGGATGAGTCGTGTTGGGAAACAACACATTTGTTAGCTCTTCTTTTATAGAGTCACTTTATATATGACTTGGTGTATGTAGCTTTTACATATCAATAAAGTGTCGTTGTCAACACTGTAATTTGAACAGAGATCACTAGAGAGCAGATACAGGCGACCCCATTTTAAATAAGTAGATCACGGGATAGTAAAGGAAAATATATATGGGAATTAGCGTGGCGTCTAATGGATCATTATTTCTACTCTATCCTCTATTACTATATGGAACGCTATTCTCTATACTATCCTCTATACTTTTTCTCTAAACTGATCACTATACGGATTACTATTCGATGGTTACTTTTCGAGTGAGTATTATCGAGCAAGTACTATCAGTGCGAAGGATATTCGAAGGAGTCTGACACCAGCATTGTTCAACGGCGTCACTTTAGTTGTATCTGCAATTACAAAGTCTCAACTACAACGAGCATTACGAAAGTGACAACGAGTATTCGTTGGTATTACAAAAGTGACAACGACTGTTCGTTGATATCACAAAAGTAGTGTAGTAAGAGTTTCGAATGTGTGTATATGATTACAACGGCTGAAACGTTGTGATTATGGTAATGAAGACGAGGATAACAGTCTGAATAATGTAAATAATGCAAGTAATCATAATACCTCATCTCAGAGATCCGAGCAGCTGAAGAAGGCTAGAGCGTACAACGGCCGAAACGTTGTGAATATGGCAATGAAGATGAGCATACGAGTCCGAATAATATAAATAACGCGAGTAATCATAATACCTCATCTCAGTGTGCATATGAGCTGCAACGGTTAAGACGCTTGAATATGGCCTTTGTTGAAGACTCGTTGTCGAAAGGTTTTTATAGTCAATAATCGGCTGACTATAGCCTAATATTTTCACTTAGTTTCTTGGTTTACTATTGGTTTAAAAATATTTTTATGTTTAACGTTGTTATTTATAGATACAAGTATTTAAGCAAATGCTCTGTTTATGATAAACAGTATTAAATAACATTTACCGGCCTGAATGTCCGAGAAATTCAGGCCGGTAAATGTTATTTAATACTGTTTATCATAAACAGAGCATTTGCTTAAATACTTGTATCTATAAATAGCAACGTTAAACATAAAAATGTCTTTAATAAATAAATTGTCGGACCTTGTCCATTTCTTAATATATTGGTTTAAAATAACTTTATTTTATGATTGGTTGAATGCTGTGGTAGGATCCACCTAATTTGCATAGTGGAGTACCGACCATATAAATATGGTTGGTACCGGGAAGAGAGGAAGGAATCAAGAGATTCAACCAGAGACTCTGCCTGACTGCGACTCAGTCAACACATTCTCCAGGAACGGTCTTACCAGGAATATACAAAAGACTATATGTAAATATTGTGTACACTTTCTTGTTTCAATACATTTTGTTCTAAGTACATTTTGTGTTGCATTATTATTCCATGCATTAGTCAAGTTTCAACATTGAATAATATCGTTATGTCTTGAGGTCGCGATTTTAGCCTTGTTTGAATTTCACCTTTGTCACTATTGTAACAAAGCTAACTGATTGATTTTTTTATTTTCAGTATTGCTTTGGGATCTCATGAGACAATTTTCGGTAGTCTCCTTGAAGGACTGTTATCTATGCAGTTTCATCATCTACCTTTTAAAAGAGTATCAACATGATATTGACATAAACAAACCGCCAGTTCTATTTTGAAGCTGTTTGACATAAGTGTTATCTAATGTTTTGTAGATGTAGCAAAAATATATTCGCCCT